CAAAGAAATGTCTTGGAACTTCATCCTCCCAACTCATTTCTTGGGGTTTCTAGTCAGCAGGACACCTCGTTACCTTCTCTCGAATAGTGCACAAGCAATGTTGACTTTTCTTAATATGTCAAATTGCTTCTCTTCCTCGATTAAAAACTGGCCTTGGTCAGTTCAGGTGTTAGGACATAGGAGGATAGGATAGATGGGATTTAGGTTTGAAGCCGAACGGTAACAGGGTTTAGGTTTAAAGCCGAACGGTAATAGCCGAACGGTAACAGGGTCATGCCGAATGAGTATAATAGGGAAACTGTTTGGTCTCGGTTTGAGAAGGGTTTTGTGGTAAGGAAGAGTCGGTCAGAGCTGTTAAAGCTATAAATAGACTCCTGTAAACTCTGAATGGGGCATCGAGTATATTTTGTAAAGTCAGGTCTTTGGCCTGTAGAGAGAGGTTATGCTCTTAACCAGGGAGGTTATGCTCCCAATCCATTCTTTGTAAATAGATTTCTATCGCTGTCAATAATAGAACCCATTCTTTCTTTGCTGTTTCTACCTACTGTTAGTGTTCATAGTTAGGTTTCCAACCCAGGAACCTAACATCAGGTGTATCAAAATTGTTCACAGCCTATTAATATTCCAGTATGAGGATCCATCTTCAACAAACAATGATCCTGTAGAGGTCATGCATGATTGATCCTTCCCCGAAGCCATCTCCTGTATCATCATTCTTCTCAAGGATGTATATATCTCATTGTGTATGTGCACAATATTGTTATCACACTTAGTGATAAGGATGCTAGTTTACAACTAAAACCATATCTTGCTCAAAAGTTCAAAACGAAAGATCTTGGATACCTAAGGTATATCCTTCATACAGAAGTGGCACAATCCAATGATGGTTTAGTCAAATCTCAGAAAACAAGCTCTCGACATTCAAGAAGAAACATGGATCATAAATGCAACCTATAGACACACCAATGGATCTAGGTGACAAACTTGTACCTAACCAAGGAGAAACTTATTCTAATCCTAGGAGATACATAAGGTTAGTTGGTAAGCTAGATTACCTCAATGTTACCTATCCTAACATCACCTTTACAGTGGGCATAGTAAGTCAATTTTTAAACACTTGTCAAGAACATTGGGATGCAGTCATGTTGATCTTAAAGTATACTAAGAAGGCTCTTGGAAAAGGCCTCATTTACGAAGATAGGAAAATATTTAAATTTTTGGGCATTCTTTTGACTAGGCACGGTCACTAAGTGGTAGACACTCCACTTTAGGGCATTGTACTCTTGTTGGAGGTAATTTAATATCATGGAAAAAGTAAAAAGAAAAAGTTGTGGCAAGGGTCAAGTGTGAAAGAAAAATACAAAGCCTCTCGTGAGTCCATACACTTAAAACAACTCTTCCAAAAGAGCTCAAATTTGAAGTTAACAACTGCACCTCGTATGTGAAAACCCAGAAACATTACACATTGTTTCAAATCCTATCTTTAATGAGAGGACCAAACATATCTTTCATGGTTGTCATTTCATACAAGAAAAACTAGAGTCTGGAGACATTACTAGAATTGTCAACTGTAATAAACAGTACTCTGACATATTCACTAAATCTCTAAGAATCAATTGATTATATTTATAACAAGCTAGGCACAAACGACCTAAATGTTCCAGCATGAACTGGAGCGTTATAATTACAGAAATAAGGAGTTGATCCTATATAATCAAGAATATCTAAATTATCTCTGTACTATTAAGAACTTTTTTATTTATTCCTTTATCGTATCTTTGTTATTAGAGGATATAAAATCTCCTCTATTTATTATAATGATTCCTTTTTTTTCAATATAAATAACATGTCTTAGAAACACACATCAGCTTTTGTTTCTCTCTTCTTAATATTTTTAAGGGAGCTAAAACAAAGTATAGTTTTATGAAGCATCTTTAGTGCAATAAAGTTCCACCACNATACCATACCAGACTCCCCCTGAGCAACAAACCCAGGAGGTTGCTCCATATAAACTTCTTCCTCAAGATCACCATGTAAGAAGGCATTCTTGATATCCATCCAATTGATGAAATGGCCAGTGACGAATGGCTGCCATGGCAAAGAAGAGGCAAATAGTAATCATTTTGGCTACAGGAGAGAAAGTGTCACAATAATCAAGACCATAAACCTGAGTGTAACCTTTTGCAACAAGTCGAGCTTTGAACCGATCAATTTCACCATCAGGCCAACTTTAACTGCAGACACCCATCGACAGCCAACCACCTTTTTGCCTGGGGGAAGGGGCACCAGCTCCCAAGTATTACTGTGGTCAAGAGCCTGCATTTCTGTAATCATAGCTTGTTGCCATCCAGGATGATCAAGTGCTTCTTTCACATTCTTGGGTATAACAAGAGAGGACACTAAGGATAAAAGAGAAAAATAGGAAGGCAACATTCAATGATAGCTTAGAAAATTATAAATAGGATGAGGGTTTCGAGTGGAACGAGTACCTTTTCTAAGGACAATAGGCCATGCTGAATCATTTTCACCAGGAGGCGTGGGAGGAGGTGACGAGGGAGAAGAATCTGAAGTAGGAAATTCATCATTGTCTTGGTGGACTATCCATTGGGACCCTATGTGGGATGATCTCAGTAAGTGGAGAAACGGGTGTAGGAGGATTGTGATCAAGACTTGGAATGACAGAGACACTGGAGCTATTTGACTCAACCATTGAATAGAAACATCCTGAACAGATGGAGAGAAGTAAAGTCCCCATATATCAGAATGGATGATGAAAAAACTAGAATTACATATTGATTGAGACCTTTTAGGAAAGGAAGATCAAACATGTTTTCCTAATTGACATGACTCACATTCTAAGGTTTGGAGACCACTAANTGGAACAAATAAACTCAATCCGAGGACCCTTTAATGACTTGGTCAATACATCTGCGAGTTGATCGTTTGATCCAATAAATTCAATGCATATTTCTTCAGTCAACAACTTTTCACGAACAAAATGACAATCAATTTCTATATGTTTAGTCCTCTCGTGAAACAATGGATTTGATGCAATATGGAGAGCAGCATGATTGTCGCAATACATCTTCATAGTATGGATGTCACAGAATTTAATCTCTTAAGGGAATTGTTTCACCCATATAAGTTCACATGTTAGTGATGTCATTGTCCTATACTCGGCTTCAGCGGTTGATCGAGCTACTACATTCTGTTTCTTACTTTTCCATGAAATAATGTTTCCTCCCAGAAAAACACAATATCCTGTAGTAGACCGTCTATCAATAGGTGAACCTGTCCAATCTGCATCACAATACCCAGAGACCTGAATGCTTCCTTTATCTTCATATAACAATCCTTGCCCAGGAGCCTTCTTTACATACCTTAGAATGCGAATGAGAGCATTCCAATGGTCAACACATGGAGCCTGCATGAACTGACTAACCACTCTAACTGCAAAGGATAGATTTGGCCTTGTAATAGTGAGATAAATCAGTTTTCCAACCAGCCTCCTATACCTCTCAAGATCGGAGAATAATTCACCTTCTTTTGTCCTTAATTTCTGGTTTAGGACCATGGGACCGTCTACCGGTCTACAATCAATCATGCCTGTTTCTTGTAATATATCAAGAGCATACTTCCTTTGGGAGATTACAACTCCATCTTTTGATTGCGCTGCTTCAATGCCTAAGAAGTATTTGAGACTTCCAAGATCCTTGGTTTGAAAATGTCTACACAAGTACTCTTTTAGTTGAGATATTCCAACATCATTTCCTGTAATGACAATATCAACATATACTATAAAGTAAACACATTTCTCGAGAGAAGAATGACAGTAAAAAACTGAATGGTCTGCTTCACTACGTTTTAGCCCAAATTTTTGCACAATGAAGCTAAACTTTCCAAACCAAGCACGTGGGGATTGCTTGAGGCCATATAGAGATCGATGCAATTTGCATACCATACCAGACTCCCCCTGAGCAACAAACCCAGGAGGTTGCTCCATATAAACTTCTTCCTCAAGATCACCATGTAAGAAGGCATTCTTGATATCCATCCAATTGATGAAATGGCCAGTGACGAATGGCTGCCATGGCAAAGAAGAGGCAAATAGTAATCATTTTGGCTACAGGAGAGAAAGTGTCACAATAATCAAGACCATAAACCTGAGTGTAACCTTTTGCAACAAGTCGAGCTTTGAACCGATCAATTTCACCATCAGGCCAACTTTAACTGCAGACACCCATCGACAGCCAACCACCTTTTTGCCTGGGGGAAGGGGCACCAGCTCCCAAGTATTACTGTGGTCAAGAGCCTGCATTTCTGAAATCATAGCTTGTTGCCATCCAGGATGATCAAGTGCTTCTTTCACATTCTTGGGTATAACAAGAGAGGACACTAAGGATAAAAGAGAAAAATAGGAAGGCAACATTCAATGATAGCTTAGAAAATTATAAATAGGATGAGGGTTTCGAGTGGAACGAGTACCTTTTCTAAGGACAATAGGCCATGCTGAATCATTTTCACCAGGAGGCGTGGGAGGAGGTGACGAGGGAGAAGAATCTGAAGTAGGAAATTCATCATTGTCTTGGTGGACTATCCATTGGGACCCTATGTGGGATGATCTCAGTAAGTGGAGAAACGGGTGTAGGAGGATTGTGATCAAGACTTGGAATGACAGAGACACTGGAGCTATTTGACTCAACCATTGAATAGAAACATCCTGAACAGATGGAGAGAAGTAAAGTCCCCATATATCAGAATGGATGATGAAAAAACTAGAATTACATATTGATTGAGACCTTTTAGGAAAGGAAGATCAAACATGTTTTCCTAATTGACATGACTCACATTCTAAGGTTTGGAGACCACTAAGTTCAAGACACATCTTTTTTAATTTGGACAAATGAGGATGGCCAAGTCGATCATGTAGCACTTTAGGATTAGAAGCAGCAACATAGGACACCCTTGGACGAGATCCAAAATGGTATAATCCGCCAGCTTCATATCCTTCTCCAATCTGTCTCCCCGAACCACGCTCCTGTATAACAAAAGATTTATGATCAAAGATTATTGAACAATTTAACATTTTGGTCAACTGTCTTTGGGAAATTAAATTAAAAGGACAATTAGGGACAAAAAGGACAGAGTTGAGATTAAGGGAGGGAGACAAAGAAACATGACCGACTCCTGTGGAGGAAGTTTTAGATCCATTTGCAAGGGTTATGAAATGATTTTTTTCTCGAAAGGAAATAGATGAGAACAAAGAGGTATTACCAGAAATGTGATCAGAAGCACTTGAGTCAATTACCCATGAATTTTGACCTTCCATAGATTGAGAAACGCAGGCGGTTGATGTACTGGGAGATTGAGATGGTTGTGCCAAGCTGTTAGACTTTAATCTTAAATACTCTTGATATTCATCCTCAAAAAACATAGAAGTAGAAGTTTCAGTATTCGAAGTGGAAGTTTCAGTCTTTGAAATATTGGCGGTTTTGGAAGGCAAACCATGTAAGGAGTAGCAATTCTCTTGAGTGTGACCCATCCTTTTACAGTATGTGCATTGAGGACGTCCCCGACCTCCTCGTCCTCCTCTTCTAGTGCCATGTCCTCTTCTTCCTCGTGTGGCAACCATGACAGATGGTTCCACTAGTTCATGTGCTTCTTGAGTTTGAGGTACCGGGACACGCTGAAGGCGAGTGGTCAATGTTTCCATGGAGGGGACCTCATGACTAGTTAGAAGTTGATCTTTGAGATGATCAAAATCGGGATGTAGGGCACGAAGGATCAACACCATGTAAAATTTGTCTAGTTTCTTTTTGATATCCTCTAATGGATCTGCTTCCAAAAACATCTTGAGTTCTTCGACAGCAGATTGGGCTTCAGCCATGAAGGACACCATATCATGGTTTGCCATTTTAAGAGATGCAAGCTTGTTCGTAGTGTCATAGAGACGTTGAATATCGTTGGCATAAATGTTTTGGGCTTTCTTCCAAAAGGAGTGACAAGTTTTGAAAGCCCTCAAAGATAAAAGAAGTTTGGGTTCCATTGATTGCCTTAACAGGGCACACAACTGGAAATCTGCTTGTTTCCACCGATAAGCTTTTTCAGTAGGCACATGGCTTCCATCTCGCTCAAGGTGGTCATAATGCCCTTGGAAAAGGAACCACATTTCAACAGCAGCAGACCATGATAGATAATTTTTTCCATTTAGCGTCTCGGAGGTAATTGATGGACTTCCGGAGAAGGAAAGAGTACTGCCAGACGCCATTTTTGAAGAAGACGAATAGTACCAGCGAGGAATAAGAAAACCCTAAGGGTTTAAACGAACGAAATTGTGATAGCGATGGACGACAGTGGCCGACGGCGGGCAGCGGCAGACGATGGCCGACAACGACGGACTGTGGCGCCGGACAGATATTACAAGACAGAAACCAAAGCGGGAACGAACGCTCTGATACCAAGTTAGAAGTGAACTTGAAACCTAACTCAACCCCACAAAACCGGCTTGTAGGGTGAGGTTTCCACCCATTTATATACACTGAATTGGCCTTATCTCTAGTCGATATGGGACTTCCAACAAATACAAAGCTACTATGGGTCACTGATAGTAATCAACAATGGAGGAAAACATCAAATTGTAGGCCTTCACGTAGCAGGGCATAGCTACTCTGAGTATGGTGTCTTTAATACCCACATTAATGCCCAATTGCTCATGCACACAGTGACCTTGATTTCTATCCAAAAGATTTGGCACAAGATAGACGCACATTGGTGAAACAAAGAAATGTCTTGGAACTTCATCCTCCCAACTCATTTCTTGGGGTTTCTAGTCAGCAGGACACCTCGTTACCTTCTCTCGAATAGTGCACAAGCAATGTTGACTTTTCTTAATATGTCAAATTGCTTCTCTTCCTCGATTAAAAACTGGCCTTGGTCAGTTCAGGTGTTAGGACATAGGAGGATAGGATAGATGGGATTTAGGTTTGAAGCCGAACGGTAACAGGGTTTAGGTTTAAAGCCGAACGGTAATAGCCGAACGGTAACAGGGTCATGCCGAATGAGTATAATAGGGAAACTGTTTGGTCTCGGTTTGAGAAGGGTTTTGTGGTAAGGAAGAGTCGGTCAGAGCTGTTAAAGCTATAAATAGACTCCTGTAAACTCTGAATGGGGCATCGAGTATATTTTGTAAAGTCAGGTCTTTGGCCTGTAGAGAGAGGTTATGCTCTTAACCAGGGAGGTTATGCTCCCAATCCATTCTTTGTAAATAGATTTCTATCGCTGTCAATAATAGAACCCATTCTTTCTTTGCTGTTTCTACCTACTGTTAGTGTTCATAGTTAGGTTTCCAACCCAGGAACCTAACATCAGGTGTATCAAAATTGTTCACAGCCTATTAATATTCCAGTATGAGGATCCATCTTCAACAAACAATGATCCTGTAGAGGTCATGCATGATTGATCCTTCCCCGAAGCCATCTCCTGTATCATCATTCTTCTCAAGGATGTATATATCTCATTGTGTATGTGCACAATATTGTTATCACACTTAGTGATAAGGATGCTAGTTTACAACTAAAACCATATCTTGCTCAAAAGTTCAAAACGAAAGATCTTGGATACCTAAGGTATATCCTTCATACAGAAGTGGCACAATCCAATGATGGTTTAGTCAAATCTCAGAAAACAAGCTCTCGACATTCAAGAAGAAACATGGATCATAAATGCAACCTATAGACACACCAATGGATCTAGGTGACAAACTTGTACCTAACCAAGGAGAAACTTATTCTAATCCTAGGAGATACATAAGGTTAGTTGGTAAGCTAGATTACCTCAATGTTACCTATCCTAACATCACCTTTACAGTGGGCATAGTAAGTCAATTTTTAAACACTTGTCAAGAACATTGGGATGCAGTCATGTTGATCTTAAAGTATACTAAGAAGGCTCTTGGAAAAGGCCTCATTTACGAAGATAGGAAAATATTTAAATTTTTGGGCATTCTTTTGACTAGGCACGGTCACTAAGTGGTAGACACTCCACTTTAGGGCATTGTACTCTTGTTGGAGGTAATTTAATATCATGGAAAAAGTAAAAAGAAAAAGTTGTGGCAAGGGTCAAGTGTGAAAGAAAAATACAAAGCCTCTCGTGAGTCCATACACTTAAAACAACTCTTCCAAAAGAGCTCAAATTTGAAGTTAACAACTGCACCTCGTATGTGAAAACCCAGAAACATTACACATTGTTTCAAATCCTATCTTTAATGAGAGGACCAAACATATCTTTCATGGTTGTCATTTCATACAAGAAAAACTAGAGTCTGGAGACATTACTAGAATTGTCAACTGTAATAAACAGTACTCTGACATATTCACTAAATCTCTAAGAATCAATTGATTATATTTATAACAAGCTAGGCACAAACGACCTAAATGTTCCAGCATGAACTGGAGCGTTATAATTACAGAAATAAGGAGTTGATCCTATATAATCAAGAATATCTAAATTATCTCTGTACTATTAAGAACTTTTTTATTTATTCCTTTATCGTATCTTTGTTATTAGAGGATATAAAATCTCCTCTATTTATTATAATGATTCCTTTTTTTTCAATATAAATAACATGTCTTAGAAACACACATCAGCTTTTGTTTCTCTCTTCTTAATATTTTTAAGGGAGCTAAAACAAAGTATAGTTTTATGAAGCATCTTTAGTGCAATAAAGTTCCACCACTCTCTTCTTAATATTTTTAAGGGAGCTAAAACAAAGTATAGTTTTATGAAGCATCTTTAGTGCAATAAAGTTCCACCACAAAATGGAAAAAATAAATCTTCAACAAGCAAAGTGACTAAAACCAATGTTTAATTTATTAACTTCTATTTTCAGTCAACTATATTGATATTTACTACATTTCTTAAGGAAATGAATAGGTCTGTCAACATAGATCCACTAGCAAAAAATTAAACTTAAACATACCTCAAAAGTACAGTGCGAATCTGAAGGGCAGGACTCCATTTGTCTTTCAGAATGTCAAGACATATCCTGCCAAGCTGAAATGAACTTTGTCTAAGATAATCATTACCAAAGAAAAAAATGGAAATGTAGGGGAAGCTAAGTGTACCTACCTTATCAATGTTTGGATGATATATTTTTGTCAGAAACCTAACCTGAAATAAGCATTTCATGGCTGCATCAGAAATAATTGGAGAAATGTTTTTTAACGGCATCATAAATTAATCAATAATAATCATCATTAAAATTAAACCCAAAACAGTCAGCCAAATACGAGAAAACTGCACAATCATACAATTATGCCAGATAGATATAATTAGTTATTCCTTTAAGATGGGGTGGGAGATGGGGAAGAAAAGCCAACTGCACTCCTTTGGCCCATAAAAAACTCAATCAGATGGATGTAAGAGCTATAAGTACACACTTTCCCTAAATCCTTTCCTGGAATAGGTAATGGCTTCCAAGGCATGGTAATTAGCATCATCCTAGTTCTATCTGCCTAATGAAATGCTAAGACAAAATATTAAGAACAGCTGAACATTATGCCAACCAAAATCACGGAGGAAATAATTCAATTATATTAATAAACAAAAAATGACATTAAATTTAAGTCTGTTTACAATTGGTTCATTGTTTCAGTTTCAACAAGAGAAGACAAGGAGCACGTGACTGAATTTAGACTTTAAAAAGTGGCTGTTCAATTAATTACACGTTTTTGGGATATAGCCTATGACATTAATAAAAGCTAGGCAGTCAACATAATTGATACGAAAAATCAGGGCTAAGAATAATTCAGATAAAAATATATTTTAGTGGATAACTCAATAGATATTTTACACCAAATGGTTATTACAATGTATGTAGGAAAAAATTAAATTATTTACCTTAGGAGCTGCCATCGGATATTCTTCTGGCAAAAATAATTCTAGTTTAAAAACTCCACCTGTATTACAGACAATTTGTTTGAGACATTATTCTGGGTTTGGGGAAATAAAAATATCAGTATCATCAAAGTAGGTAGGATATCATCATGCCTAAAAGTAAGGTATTAAATTTGGGAGTTCAAAATTTCATCCACCTGACACAAGAAACCATCCTGCAATATAGTGCAGGGCACACTACTCTCATACAGTAAAGTGCAGACTATTAATGCAAAAATATAAGGAAATCTATCATATCAGTGATTAGTTACATAGGTGTTTGTATTATATAAAAATGTATGCAGTTGATTTTCTATTCCAAACTTTATGCTGTAAAGGTGTACAGTCCAGAAGTTCCAGCTTTATTTGGATAGGGCCCTCGATAAGCACTTACAAGAGAAAAAAAATAAGGTAAAACGCATGGAGTTTCTCAACGAGACAAAATCAACTAGTACATCTTAGTTTAATATTTTTTTTTCTTTTCTGTGTTGAGGATAGCTTTTGAATGTCATGTGAAAAGAACTTCTACGAAAGTTAAGTTGATTATAGCTAATAGATGAAGCTAAATTCATTTTACATTTTATTTTCCTCTTCTATAAGTGACTAAGGAGTAATTTATCCAAACAAGGCCTTCATACATTAAATTTTTAAATGTACACAATGAAGAGAACATAGTCATGTATAATAACACTAGCTGGGGTAGTTTCAATTTCCATCCATAACCAAAGCCATCACACTCTTTATAGTGGAGATAGGACCCTACAACTTTCTACAAGGAGCTGAAAAAGAGGGAACTAAAATTAAATAAAAGAACTAATCACACATGCAAAGACCCTACAAAAATCCTTCAACCCAATCTTTTAATCTACTTTCTCTCTTTCTCAAGTCAATCATTCAAGTGTTAAACCCCCACAAGCAACTATTAGATGCAGAACAACACTTCAGCTGCAGATGTTACAAAGAAATAAGCTCGTCATTCATGGAATAATCCAAATAAAATTGATTAGATGAATTGGTTAGCATAAAAATATAGGAGGCAT